GAAACAGTTGAGATCCCCACCCCAAAACTATATATACAAATGCTGGGCAAAAAGAGACAAATGCAGTCACGATATTAGAATTGATCCTGGGGTCTGGCCACAACCCTAGGGACCTAGTTTCTGAGTCAAAGCTTGGAAACAGTTGAGATCCCCACCCCATAACCATACATAAAATAGCTGAGCATGAATAATCTAATACAAGTACAGATATGCTACAAGGATTGGCCTTGGGGTCTGGCATATTCCCTTGATCTCATTCGGAGAATATTTTGTCATGATTGCTTTGGTATCCAGGTGAGCGATACAGGCCCTCTAGGCCTCTTGTTCAATGCGTCCCGTCCGAAATATGCTTAACTCATTAACACTGTTATGTTCATGTCCAAGGTAAACACGTATCCGGATTATTATCCTGTAATTAGTGTCGGACCGCATGGTTCCGATTTATGCCTTGCGCATGCTCTGTATTTGTATGTTGTGAACCGCCATTAAATAACCTAGCAGTCGTGTGTTGTTGTAAGTTGTATTTTACGATAAAGGACCTTCACAAACACAACATTGGCGACGAGGATTGACGTAAACTTACATCGAAACAACACCTGTAACAGAAAAACTGTAAGGTATGGCTGTAAGACACGGAAGCATCGAAGAATTTGATGTAAACTCGCAAAATTTGGACGAGTACATTGAACGTTTGGAACACTATTTTGTGGCTAATGCGGTGGATGATAACGATGTAAAACGTTCAATATTACTGACCGTATGTGGCAGTAAAACGTATGGGTTAATTCGTAACGTTGTGAGTCCGGCAAAACCCGGAGAAAAAACGTACGATGAGCTGAAAAATAACATTCGAAATCATCTGCAACCTAAACCCCTGGTGATAGCGGAACGGTTCAAGTTTCATCAACGCAAACAAAAGGAAGGAGAAACGGTGACTCAATTTCTAGCCGAACACCGTAAACTCAGTGAGCATTGTAATTTTGAAGCGTTTTTGAACGATGCCTTGCAGGATAGATTTGTGTGTGGGTTGGCTTCCACGGCAACCCAAAGGATATTGCTATCGGAAGCTGAATTGACATTGAAAAAAGCAGTGGACATTGCCGTTAGTATGGAGATGGCAGACTGTGAATCGCGCAAACTAAAAGAAACCTCTGCAATGTTCGAGGGGAGTAAGAACGCGGAACAGACACACAAAGTGTTCACACAATGCTTTCGTTGTGGAAAGAACAATCATAGTGGCGACAGTTGTTATTATAAGAACAGCAAGTGCCACAAATGTCACGAAACTGGTCATCTTAGCAAAATGTGTCCGGCAAACAAATCACGTCAACATGTAAACAAACCGCGACCACATCGAAGTACTGAAAGTACTCAAAGTACTGTCCGAGGAAAAGGACATAAGTTTAAGAAAAAAAATCCGAAAATCAACTTCGTGGAGGATTCCGACGTGGATAGTTCTGGTGCCTATGAAACTGATTGTAAGTACTCTTGGCCTCTGTTTTCGATAAAATCTGACGGTCAGAAGGAAATAAACATTGATTTGTTAATTGAACGCAAACCATAGAAAATGGAGTTGGACACCGGGGCTTCGGTTTCTTTGATATCGGAAAAGGAGTATCGTCAGAAGTATCATGGTTCTGTGAAACTGAACGACACGTCAACAGTTCTGAGGACATACACAGGTCAACTTTTACCAGTTGTCGGGGAGATGTCTGTGATGGTACAGTATGGAGACCAACAGGTGTCATTGCCGTTACTCGTGGTCAAGGCTGATGGACCAGCATTGCTTGGTAGAAACTGGTTGAGTAAGTTAAAACTTAACTGGCAATCTATCAACTACACCATCAATGGACATTCACTGGAGAAACTCTTTCAGAAGTACAAAGTGTACAATGAAGAGTTGGGTACTGTGAAGGGAGTAACTGCTAGCCTCCGATTAAAGGAGGATGTTATCCCGAAGTTCTTCAAACCAAGGTCCGTGCCTTTCGCTCTCAAAGACAAGATCGTTGAAGAACTTGACCGACTGGAAAAGGCTGCAATTCTCGTTTGGGGCACCCCCATTGTACCAGTGTTAAAACCTGATGGTCCTGTGAGGATATGTGGAGACTATAAAGTCACTATTAATCCCTACTTGGATGTTCCAGAATACCCGTTACCGACCAGCGAGAAGTTATTCGCAAAGTTGAATGGTGGTGATCAGTTCTCAAAGCTGGATCTGACCAACGCGTATCAACAAGTGTTGTTGGATGAGGAATCACGGAAGTTAGTTACCATCAACACGCACCGCGGCTTGTATTGGTACACGCGTCTTCCGTTTGGAGTAGCGGCTGCTCCCGCCATATTTCAACGCACTATGGACCAGGTCCTGCAAGGAATTGAAGGTGTCGGATGCATATTAGATGATATTTTAATCACGGGAAAATCTGACGCCGAACACCGTCACAATCTCGACACAACGCTTCAGCGACTAGAAGATTTCGGTATCCGACTAAAGAAAACCAAGAGTTTCTTCATGCGCGACGAAGTAGAATATTTCGCGTTTAAGGTCAACAAGGACGGTATCCATCCTTCACCGAGCAAGGTGGAAGCCATTTTGAAATTGGTTGATCTCCAAACCAAGCGTGAGCTTCAATCGTGGCTCGGTATTGTCAAATATTACCGCAAGTTCATTCCGAACATGGCTACAGTCGCAGAGCCTCTGACTCATTTGTTAGCAAACGATGTTGAATGGCAGTGGACCCCGGCGTGTGCTAGTGCTTGTGACACTATCAAAAAACTCTTAGTATCGTCTGAGGTCATGGTCCACTATGATCCACAGAAACCGTTAATGCTGGCTGTAGACGCCTTAGCCTACGAGCTCGGAGCGGTAATTTCACACACCATCGAGCCGAGCGACAAACCGATCGCGTACGCGTCCCGTACCTTGACGTCGGCCGAAAAGAATTATTCTCAGATAGAGAAAGAAGCGTTGGCTATTATTTTTGGAATTAAAAAGTTTCACCAGTTTCTCTATGGACGGCGTTTTACGCTATTAACAGATCACAAGCCTCTGACAACGATCTTGGGGCCAAAGAAAGGCTTTCCGGTTTTGGCAGCATCACGGTTACAGCGATGGGCAATCCAGCTGTCCGCGTACCAGTTTGACATTAAGTTTCGAACGACCTACAAAAACGGAAATGCTGACGCGTTATCGCGCTTTCCATTGAAAGAGGATGTAAGTTGCAACTGTGACGACTATGTTTTCTATGAGGAAGCTGAGTTAGCTAACAAAATGCAGGTTAACAACTTACCCGTTACCGCTTCGCGTATCGCAGCGGCGAACAAAGCCGATCCAATTATGTCTCGTGTGATAGAATTTACCAGAAGTGGATGGCCAAATGTCAATTCCAAGGATGATCTACAACCGTATCATCGGATAAGAGGGAGTTGACCATCGAGGAAGGATGTTTACTCCGAGGTATACGTGTGATCATACCCGAACGATATCAGACGGATATCTTAGACGAGTTGCACAGCAACCACCCAGGAATCGTGAGAATGAAATATCTGTCTCGGTTACACGCGTGGTGGCCAAACATGGATGTTGACATTGAGCGTCAAGTGTCAGCCTGTGAAGCATGTCGGAAAGTACTACCTAATGCGCCCAAGTCTCCTGCAAACCCTTGGAGATGGCCTTCAGCGCCATGGAGTCGTATCCATATCGACTTCGCCGGTCCATTTATGGATGAAATGTACATGATCGTAGTAGACGCGCATTCGAAGTGGCTTGACGTAATACGTATGTCTTTGACAACTTCGACAAGTACCATCAATGCCTTGAGGTATTTGTTCGCGTCTTATGGTTTACCAAAAGAACTGGTTTCCGATAATGGTCCTCAGTTCCCCGCGGCCGAGTTTACCACATTTCTAAAGGAAAACGGCGTGCGTCATATTCTTTCTGCACCATATCACCCAAGTTCAAATGGGGAGGCAGAGAGGGCAGTGCGGACTTTTAAGCAAGCTATGAAATCAATGGCTCAGGAAGGTGGTACACTGAACAAGAAACTTGCTTCGTTTCTCTTGTCCTATCGTACCACACCCCATAGTCTTACCAAGACTACCCCCAGTGAACTATTCCTAGGCAGAAAGTTAAGAACCAGACTTGATGTCATGCGTCCACATCTGTCGGGGAATATACAACAAAAGACTACCCCTACAGTGTCAAAGGCTCGTTATTTTGAAGTCGGTGACATTGTGATTACCCGAGACTATCACGGAAACCCGAGGAAACCTACATGGAGCAAAGGCATTGTGCTTCGCAAACTAGGACCCCTTGCATACACCATCCAGATGGACAACCTAACATGGAAGAGACATGTTGATTAGATGCGTGATTGTGATGTAAACTGTAACATGGCAACTCCAGAACAAATAGTTTCTGACATGCATCATTATCAAGACTGTCTCCCAGTATTTCCACCGATTCCGTTCGTGGGAACTGAGAGGGTGTCATCACCATCTAGTCCAAAGACTAAACCCAGTGAGGTCGCTAGTACACCACAGACTTCGAGTGTGCCAATTACGCGCGCAGACGCTGTGACCATCGCTACT